GGGCGGGGAGGGGGGAGGCCGCGCTGTGCGGCCCTGCCCGGCTCGGGGGCCGCGGGGCCGGCGCGTCCCGGCCCCTCCGCGCCTCGGCCCGGCGGGACACGAGTGGGCAGCGGGCGCGGTGGAAGTGCCCTAAGGCACCGGCCGCGGGAGGGGCCGCGGCCCGGCGAGCGTCCGGCGGGTCTGTCTGCAGAGGGCGAGTTCTCCCTTGGCTTATCGGCGCAACGCCGGGCCGGGAACCCGCGGGTCTGTCATTCTTGAGCGAGATAATTTTCAATTTTCAAATACGAGAACTCCTGCTGCATCAGCCTGAACGTGATTATATAATGAGGGTAAAAAGTCGATAATAATGTTCTGGCTGCTTATATATTCCAGGTTTAGTTATGCAGTTATGGCCGTGCTTCTGTGCTTCCATGTAACACCTGCTAATCGTCAGCATTGATAAAGCAAATTTGTGGCAAAGGAGAAGTTGGCTTATGCGATTTTCAATTTCCAGCGTGAGCTGCCATTAACACTGCCTGCATCAAAACATTGTACTCCATATCAGTCTAGGATAGCTTTTTTTTTTCAAAGATGACATACAAAAGACATAGAAAGGAGACACTAATACAGAGAAGGACAGATAATATTCAATACGTTTTACTTGTCTCCAAAAGTATTTGTGAAAAATTAATTTTTTAAAAAATTCACTTTGCTTCTCTTGCCTAAAGGAAATGGCAGTTGGATCATGTTTGGTTTACTGGTAGATAGCATTAAAATATTTTTATAAATGTGCCTGTTTATTTCTCTTCCCTTTCCACAGTGTGAGTTGTCAGCTTTGATCACAGCTCTGTATTTATGCTTATAAAGATTTAAGGCTTATTTTGAAATGCATAGATATGAGTTCTTTCTCAAGTAAGGATTAGGAGAGGAAATAGAGACAGCCAGTGAAAGAAGGGCATGATCAGGAGGAAAGCTCTCAGTATTATGAGTCAGCATTGCCTGAATTTTATCAAGTGGGCTGACAGCAGCTGTAGTGATTGCCACTGAGTGTCCATCCAGCCCCACAGTACTTTGAAGAGGAACAGATGTTTGGAGAAGAAAGCTTCAACAAAACAGCCCTACTTCCTTCCCATATCTCTTCCTACACTCCCACAGGTTGAAGCTTAAGCACTTCTTGAGCTACAGCTGGTGGCTTGGATATTTTGTTTTGGTAATGTTGGTTTGTTTGGTTGGGTTTTTTGGAATTGCTCTTCATATCCTTGTCTTCTGTGGACTTGTTTAATTGCTCTTGAACAAGGAAGCAGGAGGTGGTTGGAGTAGTTGAAAGGAAGATATAGGAGAAAAGCCCTTCCAGATTTATGGCAGAAGAAGGGATGGAGAAAGTGACATGCCTAACCAGTTACTGTCAGTTTATTTTCTAGGTAAGACTGAGAGTAAACAGAGAAGTTTTAAAAATGGGAAGACAAGTCCTTTGTCATGAAAAAACTTTGCTTACATGCTTACTTTGCTATTTAAGGTTCTAATATCACAATTTAGAAAGGAGAAAGCAGCTGAGCTGGGGGGGATACATACTTAAGATTGTTTATACTTTCTTACTCTTAAGTTTCCTTAACTTGTAGAAAACAGAAATTCTAATGCTTAAGAAACAGACAAAATGTAACATTTTGCATATAATTTTAAATGTCAAGCATGCAGTTTATAAGAAAAAATCTTTTCTGGTTGATCCAAGAAACAACAATAAAAACTAACCTTGAGTTTATGAATGTTGCTTTCTAAACCATCCTATGCTTGCCTTGATTATAGATTCTTAATTCTTTTTTGTAGACCCAATTAAAACAGTAACAGTTTTAGAAAAGGCAGATAGTAAATATTATAGTAATATGTCATTTTAAGTTGTGAAATGCGTTCCCTGAAGTTCTTGAAGATGTCACTGAAGTTTGTAGGTAGCATGCTGAATTGAGCCTTGTACCTTCTGTGTTTGTAGCACGCAACATCATGTGTTGCCGTGTTTGGATTCCTTTAAGTTGGGAATACTGTCTTACTTTCATTGTAGTGATCTCTGCTGAGTGTCTGTCCATCGCAGTGCATCCTTTCCTTCTCCAGCCAGTGGTGGTTGCATGAAATGGGTGGCTGGTGATGGATAGAGCCTGGGCCCTGCTCTGCCCATTTTACACACGGCTGTGATGTGGTTTTATCGTATATGTGTGTACACAGAAACTGTCTGCTCAGAGCAGCAGAAGTGACTTAGTGAGTTGTCACTTTTCCATAATTACTCTCAATGTCATCTAACTGCTGAGAGCTCTAGAAACTATTCAGTTTGGCCATCAAGTGGTGTTTTGAGGACAGCCTAGGAAGTGTTGAGCCTGCTCTTGGGTTCAGGCAATAGATCTCCTTTCAGTCACCATGACAGTGTTGATGTTTGCAGCATGACTGTCAACCTGGTTTGCTAATTGTCTGTAGGAGTGATCCTTCCCAGTCCCAGTGAGGCAGTTGTGTATTTGGGGTTGAAGTAAAATACTAGGGTGGGTCTTTATTCTAGACAAGAGTAAGGTGGTGTGATAGAATGACTGTGGACACTTATTTTGTCCTAATTTCCAACTTGGAAAGCAGCCAAAAAGCCATAATCAAATATCTTTTTGTTCTTTTGCCTGAACAAACCTTACCTGTCTCTGATGGGCTGTGTTACTTTATCATCTTGTCTGACCAGTATTGCTTTTGCATCTGTGGTTCAATCCTTTGAAAAAAAAAAAAAGAAAGAAAAATCCAAACTTAGTATTTTGTTAGCAGGCTGTGTTCATGTATTCTGCCATATGGTAAGCTATTGATCTTCCCAAACTCCTGAATTTTCTTATGGTCTAATGTCGTGACTAAATCTTAGTGGTTCTTAGCATAGCATTAAATACCTGTTTGATGACATCATAACATGTTCTTAGCATAGCATTAAATACCTGTTTGATGACATCATAACATGTTCTTAGAATTCTGAGTTGTCAGTATCTTATACTGCATTAACTATGTATTTTTTTTCATTGTTTTCATCAGGCTGGCAGATGGGGTCAGTTTTTCAGTAGTGGATTGTTGTTGCCATAAATAACCCTGCACTTGTAGCTAAGATGATGTTAGAGGAACTTATTGTTAATTTTTGTTATAGAAAGCTAAAACTATCAAATGTCACTTAAAATGGGTGTAAAATTTTAGTTAGCCAAAACCTAACATTTTGAACATGTACTGTTGACATAACTATTGTGTAGAAGTTAGTTTTATGTGTCTCACTTTTCATGCATTCTTCTTGATTCTATGTAGCTCAAGCAGTGAACTGCTTCCAGGCATAGTAAAAAGAAATTTCAGCTTGTATGCTGTCTGAAACAGCAGAGCTAAAACTCAATATTCATTGAGAAAAGTAATTTTTTTCCTCCATTAGAATGCATTACTGGTGGAACTTCATGGGTTCAGCTGAAGTCTTAGTAACTATTTCCCAGTCCTTTGGAGAAAGAGTTGTGATCAGTCTTTCTAAAGACAAGATTGCAAAAGCAAGTTTAAATTCCATAACGAGATGCATTAAGTTAGAATGGACTTGGGATTTTTATGTGAACTTTTTGGTGTCAGGCTGACATGAAAAATCATCTGTTTCATTGAACTCCTTTCGTTCTTCCCCTGTTTTGAAAGAAGTAAACAGGCCCTTATTTCCAAATAAAAGTGCAGAAGTCAGTGGCCAACTAATCAGACCATAACTGATTTCCTTTGATGATGAGCAGATACATCATTTCTCTGAAGAGCCATTTCCCTTTTCTTTATTAAATATCTAAGGAAAATTAGATTTCTCTGTGCTGAGCTCAGAGAAGGCTGCTGGAGTGCTATTACAGACTTGCATAGCATGGAGGAAGACCCTGCCACAGCACAAAAGTACACTGCTTCCAGTTATGCTGTAAGTGCTTGTGTAGGCAGGTCATGGCTATGGTAAGTAAATTAGTGGGCAAAATTCAATATTGCTGCAGGACCACAGATGTTGGCATGGATTATGTTAAAAGAATTGACTATTGATGTTTGCAGCTGTGTTTATATCTGCTCTGTTTACTGGATAGCTTGGACACCTTTCCTATGTGGAAATTACTAATTAGTTATGCTTGTCACTGCTGAAACTTTTACGTTCTGTTTCTTGTCTGTCAGCAGCTGCAGGTTGCAGTGAGTTGTAGTTCACAAGAAAGGCTGGCTACCAGTCAGTCATTTAGAAACTGTTTTACTTTTGAGTGTAACTGATAGAAAGGTGGCCTTTTAGCTGATCATTTGAAGGAGAGGAACATCCTAATTAATCAAGTTTTGAGTGTTACCATATTGCATGAGGGACATGCTTATGTCCTTTGGTTTCTCCATTAAGTCTCATTTCATACATTCCTTTGGGAAGGGAACTGTGCACAGCCTTGTAAATGAGAGAGGAGCATTTTGGTTCTAACCTGCACATTGTGTTTATCTGATCTCTGTAAAAAGGAGCATTAGACCTAGAAAATTCTTGAGCTGCTAGTATGTAAACAAAGTTGCATGGAATGGTAAGTTTTCACATGTCAGATACTAAATCCTTTTAAACTTACCTATTGAACTGCTTGTAAATTTTGTATCCTTTTTAAATGAAGAGTTGTGTCAAAAACATTGATTTTGATTGAGTGAGTGTTTAAAAATAGGACTCAATTGTTTCTCACTTCCAAAATATGGACCTAAAGGTTGTAGTAAATTTAACTGCATTTGTGCACTTTTGTTTATTTCTGTCCTAATGTAGTGTAGATGCTAGATGTGCCTCCTTTCCAGGAGGAAGCTGGGCTTTGGGGAATGAGTAGAAAGTAAAATCTGTAGAAAGGAGCTATAATTATAAACATGTGTGCTTCAGAGTGTGTTACTCTTTTGTAAGTGCGTGATGATACTTGAACTTCAGTTAAATAATTGAATTGCATTTTACTGAAAAGACAAAACCCCTAAATCTTCCAATCTATTGCATAAAAAACCTTGACAAGATTGATTTTATTTTAGCTGGTTAATGTGATTGTTGCCTCTGTTTTGTTAGCCAAGAGGATGGTCCTTCAAGTACATGTGTGTGCCATTGACATGCTGAACCTCAAATAAAAAGAAATTGTCCAGATTGAGGTCTAAGAAAACAAAGGAAATGTTCTGTTAAAGGTTTTTACTGTAGTCCATCAGTATTTTCTCTTGCAGCTCTGAGGAGCTCTCAGCCATCTTGGGTACAAAAGCACTGTATCTAATTCTTTTCCTTGAAAGAAGGCCTCAGTTTCTTGAAGGTTGTTACATTCCTGTGTCAGAGGTGAAACTTTTTTTTGCTAAAGGACCATCTCTGGATGCACAG